CACTGAAAGATTTATTACATAGAAGCTATGTCGATTATAAAAAAAAATTGAGTTCCTCAAATAAGCCACCAGTGAGGATTGAACGCACGACCCCTGGTTTACAAAACCACTGCTCTAACCACTGAGCTATGGTGTTACACAGAGCTCTGAAAAGATTGTTCCTCTCAAGATTGTGTCTCACTCTAAAGTCTTATTATATACAAGCGCTGTCGATTATAAAAAAAATTTGATTTTTTCAAATAAACCACCAGTGAGGATTGAACTCACGACCTCTGGTTTACAAGACCAGTGCTCTAACCACTGAGCTATGGTGGCACACAGTTCTCTAAAAAGATTGTTCGGCTGAAGATTGTGTCTCATCTTGAAGTATTATTACATAGAATCGCTATCGATTAAAAATAATTGTTTTCTTCAAATAAGCCACCAGTGAGGATTGAACTCACGACCCCTGGTTTACAAGACCAGTGCTCTAACCACTGAGCTATGGTGGCACGCAGTATTCTAAAGAGATTGTTGGGCAGATGAATGTGTTTCACTGAAAGACTTATTACATAGAAGCTATGTCGATTATAAAAAAAATTGATTTCTTCATAGAAGCCACCATTGTGGATTGAACACACGACCTGTGGTGTAGAAGACCAGAGCTCTAACCACTGGGTTATGGTGGCATGCAGGACTCTATACAGATTGTTGAGCTGTTGTCTGAAATTTACTCTAAAGTCTTATTTCATAGAAACGGTGTCGACAATAACAAAATTGAATTCCTCAAATGAGCCACCAGTGGGGATTGAACGCACGACCCCTGGTTTACAAGACCAGTGCTCTAACCACTGAGCTATGGTGGCACACCGAGCTCTGAAAAAATTTTTCCTCTGAAGATTGTGTCTCACTCTGAAGTCTTATTATATACAAGCGCTGTCGATTATAAAAAAATTTGATTTTTTCAAATAAGCCACCTGTGAGGATTGAACTCACGACCTCTGGTTTACAAGACCAGTGCTCACACCTTCAGTGGAACACTCTTTTAGAGCAGTGTGCCATCTGCTCGTCGGTTAGTAGTACCGGTCTGCAAACTGAGGTGGTCAAGTCAACCTATTGGTGGCTAATTTGAAAAATTAAATTTTTATAATCACAGCAAGCTATTCTATGTAATAAGATGATGAACACCTTCTAAAGCCGAACAATCTTTTTCTAGAGAACTCAGTGCCACCATAGCTCAGTGGTTGC